GAGGTGCCCCAATATCGCACGTGGGACGCGTGGTGCGCAGGTCTGCGCGCTCGATTTGAGCCAATTGCGGCTTCGATCGCGGCGCGACAGAAGCTCCGCACTTGGCGCCAACTCGGTTCAGTCCAGGACTACACCAGCGGGTTTCTGGCGCTATGCGAGCAAGTGGGCTACATGCATGAGAGCGAGCGCATCGACCGCTACATCGGCGGCCTGAAGCACGACATCGCTCAAGAAATTTTTTCGCGGCGTCACCGATTTTCAGGAGATTCTCGCTATGGCGGAGAAGCTCGACTTCTTCCGCCGACCGAGACCGGGGTCCTACGGCAGTAGCAGCAACTGGGGACATCGGTCTCGTGGGACAAACGAGGGCGCCACGATACGTGCCGTCGCCGCGAATGCCGCTGCCGCACCGTTCAAAGGGCGCTGCTTCGCGTGTAATCGGCCGGGACACCGCAAGAGCGAATGCCCGGAAAACGCTAAGGGAAAGGGGGAAGCTGAGCAGCAGATACAGACCAAGCAGCAGGGAAACGCTGGGAGTCAGTAGCAGACGGGCCCTCTACTGACAGGTCACGCCGCTCGCCCGACCCAACCGACCCTCACCGAGTGATTGTGCCGGTTCACGCAATCGACCACACCCGGCCGAATAAGGAGGGTACTACGGTAGACAGCCCTATACTGCTTAGTGGGAAAATCGGGACGGACTTAGTTAAAATCTTCGTAGACGGGGGAGCCAGCCACAGCCTCATCAACACTGCTACAGCACGAAAACTGCGACTGCCACTGGACAGATGTTTACCTGAGATCGACGCACGACTGGTAGACGGCACGCCGCTGGCAATACGGGAACGCGTAGACCGGGTTCGGATTCGATGCGGGGGTAACTTCACATTTAGCCAAGAAATGCTCGCAACGACCCTCGACGGAACCGATATTTTACTCGGGCGTGATTGGTTGCGACGACACAATCCGCGAATCGACTGGACGACGGGTGACTGCACCGTGCGAGTGAACGGTAACCACATCGCCCTACCTCGCTGGGGCTCGCCTGAGTCTTCGTCGGTGCATGTCAACGCGATCACGATGAAACGCGCCGTAGCGGCGGGAGCTGACGTGTACGCGGTCGACATTCGGGAAGCCGAGGCAGCAGACAAGGGAGGGGATTTGCAGAAACTGCTGACCGACGTACCGAGTGACCTGGCAGCACTGTTGAAGCAGTACAGCGACATTTTCCCGGACGACTTACCGACGGGACTGCCACCTCAGCGACCGCACGATCACAGAATAGAATTGGAACCGGGGGCACAGCCAACAGTACAGCGACAGTTCCGACTGACCCAGCCCGAACTGGACGAACTGAGGAAGCAGCTCGATTACCTGCTCGAGAAGGAGTTCATTCGCCCTAGTTCGTCGCCTTTCGCAGCACCGATACTGTTTACACCGAAAAAAGACGGGGGATTTCGCATGTGCATCGATTACAGAGCACTGAACAGGGTTACCATCAAATCCCGTTACCCCATCCCACGAGCCGACGAACTGATCGACCAACTGCGCACAGCCCGGGTTTTCTCGAAAATCGACCTCCGGGGGGGTTACCATCAGATTCGTGTCAATCCGCCCGACTGCCCTAAAACCGCATTCCGAACACGCTACGGATCCTTCGAATACACCGTCATGCCCTTCGACTGACCAACGCCCCCGCCACTTTCCAAATGACCATGAACGAAGCTTTCCGCCCACTCTTAGATAAGTGCGTCATAGTATACCTGGACGACATACTGATTTACAGCCCTGACAGAGCACAGCACTTACAGGACATCGAAGCAGTTTTTAAAATACTGAGTGAGAACCGCCTACTGACAAAAGCGTCTAAGTGTGAATTTTTACAGGACCGTCTGGAGTTTTTGGGACACGTTATTTCAGCCGCAGGAGTGGAAATAGACCCGAAGAAAATTGCGACGATTCAGGCGTGGCACGCGCCGACCAACTTGACAGAGTTGCAGAGTTTTCTGGGGTTCGTCAACTACGTGCGCCGGTTCGTCCCCGACATGGCGAAGCTGACTGCCCCGTTGACTGACCTGCTGAGGAAGGGGGTTGAGTACACGTGGGGGGAGAAAGAGCAAGCTGCCTTCTCGGCCCTCAAAAACATTTTGTGCTCCCCGCCCGTGCTTCACATCGCCGATCCACACCGTCCGTTCGAGCTCGTCACTGACGCAAGTGACATCGCTGTGGGAGCAGTACTGTTGCAGGATTTCGGGAACGGCCTCCAGCCAATCGCGTACGAGTCCCGCAAACTGCACCCGCCCGAACGCAACTACCCGATACACGACCGCGAAATGTTGGCGATCGTGCACGCGTTCAAGGTTTGGCGGTGTTACCTGACTGGCGCCGACGTGACAGTACGGACAGACCACCGATCACTACAGTACTTACGCGCCCAACCAAATCTCAATCCGCGACAAATTCGCTGGCTGGACTACCTCGAGTCCAACTTCCACTACACGGTTACGTACAAGAAAGGCGCATCCAACATCACCGACGCACTCACCCGCCCTACCGCCCAACTCCACGCCATCCTACTCGCCCAGACCAACCCGCTGTTAACAGGCCTATTCACCCACGGATACCGCACCGACCCATTTTTCACGACTGGAAACTCACAGCAACTGGCAGAAGCTAAAGGAGTTTATTACGTAAAAACAGGCACCAACCGCATCTGGGTACCTGCGTACTCACTACTGAGGGAGCTGCTACTGCACGAGGCACACGACGGAATTACCTCGGGACACTTTGGGGTAGAAAAAACGCGACAGCAACTGCAGCGGTATTATTACTGGCCGGAGCTGTTGACCGACGTACAGCAGCACGTGGGCTCGTGCCCCACGTGTCAGGTGATGAAGAGCTCGAGGAAGCGGAAGGCGGGTCAATTGCAGCCGATACCACCGCCCGAGCGCGCCTGGCAGCAGGTTACCATGGACTTCGTCACAGGGTTACCTTCGAACCCTGGGGGTAACGACGCGGTGATGGTCGTCGTTGACAGGCTGACGAAGATGGCACACTTCGCTGCGTGCAAAAAGTCGATCTCAGCCGAGGAGACCGCTCGTCTGTTCATCGCAGCCGTTGTTCGCCTGCACGGGATACCAGCAGCGATTATTAGCGACAGGGACACGAAGTTTACCAGCAACTTCTGGAAAAACCTCTGGGAGCAGTTCGGGACCAGGCTACAGTTCAGTTCGTCGTACCACCCCGAGACCGACGGCCAAACGGAGCGGACGAATCAGACGATGGAGCATTTGATTCGTGCCACGTGCGACGACCCCACGACTTGGGAACAGCAGCTGCCGCTGATCGAGTTCGCGTACAACAACGCCACGTCAGCGACGACGCAGCAGTCCCCCTTCTACCTGAACTACGGGCAAAATCCTACAGTGCCCATGACGCCGAGTCCGGACAATCCGACACCACGTGCACAACAATTCGCCGAAATTCTGCAAGCTGCCCGCACCAGAGCTGCAGAAGCAATTAAAAAAGCAAATGTCATCGCTAAGCGCAACGCCGACCGCCACCGCCGACCCGTCACCTACCAGTCAGGGGATTACGTACTGCTCGACACGCAAAACCTGCGACTGCCCGACGTACCAAAACTGCGACCGCGCTACTGTGGCCCATTCCAAATCAGCCACATGATCACGCCAGTAACCGCGCACCTACTGTTACCGACCGACTGGTACATCAGCCCTTCGTTCCACGTCAGCTTGCTTCGCCCATACATCCCAACCACAAGCCAATTGCCTCGCCACCGCCCGCCATCCATGACTCGCCCTGCATCAGAGCCGATCATCGAGCCCGAAAAAATCCTGAGCCATCGGATTCGACACCCCACGGGAATCAGGAGGATTGAATTCCTCGTTCGCTGGAAGGACCGCACGCCAACTGAGGATAGCTGGGTGCCCCTGGCCAACATTGAAAACCACCCTGCCCTGCAAGTGTACCTGAGGAGCCGGGGATTCCGCGACATACACGCACTCGCGTAGCGGAGGGGGCTTCTTGAGGGGGGGGGGTAGTGTAAGGAATTTTCTCGGCATTCCTTACGGAGCCCGACTACATCGCGTACAGCAACAGCCGTTGTTCGCCCGTTACTGCTAACGGAACTTCGCCGACTTCGCGCGCACTGTTTCACCAAACCTCGCACTGCTGGCCCGGCCGTGTCGGCCTACGCTTCGGGACTAGCCCGAGCCTCGCTGCCAGCATAGCACTGGCTAGCTCGCACGCACCGCGTTACCGTTTGCATGCTTCGCATATAAATGTTCGCTCATGCCTTCGCTCACATCTTGGTACTCGTTTGACACCTTAGTGCAATTCTCGCTACTTCGATTCATTGCACCCGTAACAAAGTCTTACAAATGGAAACTTTTTTAAACTACTTAAAAATATTTTCACACATCTTGAAAAGAGTTTCTTATTATGAGTGTGGATGTTGCGAAGGTGCCACTTCGGCAACCATTGTTCGGGGCGCCACGTCATGGAGAGCACTTGCAGAGGCAAATTTGGTAGTACGTGAGTCAACACGTGGCAGAATTCGCGTGCGCAAGGGTAAAAATGTACGCGGTACTTCAATTTTCACTATAATATTTTGCTGTTTCGATCATAAGACACATATGTCTTATCTCGTACACACAAATAGGTGTCTTATAATGAGGCTAGCCTGTTTATAAGAGACACCCGTATAATAGACAACCCCTGTCTACTATTCAACACTGTCTTATATCCGGGTGATGACGGTAAAATTTCGTCTTATAAAACATCTTATGAGTCGTATCCAGCGTTCTTTCATTACACACAATGATTGAGAAGTCAATAAGACAGCCATCCTTACTTTTGGATGTATTTTTTTTTATGAGACAAGACTCTCAGACATTTTATTGGGGGAAACACAGCACGCATATGTCGTCCAGAGTGCAAGAGACAGCAGGCCGAGGACTCAAGGACCAGCAACAGTGCGATTACCAGCGGGGAGAAACGTTGACACTAAGGAAGCCGCGGCGCATCTTCCCCGCGGTGCAGCGCAGCGAATCGAGCAGGAAGGACCAGGACGACCCGAGCGCACCGATGAAGTAGTCCGCCTCGCCCGCCAGCAGCAGGTTCACCAACGCATTGTCCGTGCTGCGCTGCACTCCCAATGCTCTCTCGTATGCAGGCATGCTGTCATTGCCCGCCATGCGTGGCACTGCTGTGGTGAACCACCTCCACCCGCCCATGCCGCTCAGCTGCTCCACCACCTGGTGTGCCATGATGGTGGGGGAGGGGGTTTCAGGAACAAGCAAGGAACAAATCTGGGTGCGACATATTCAAGTTTCAAGTGCGACTCACTGAAAGCTCCACATAAGCACCACTCCTCACACTACCAACTCGCAATTGGTGCCACTGTGACCCAAGTCACCCGCATTCAACCCCCAGGCAGGCAGCAACACGGCAGCACCATGGTAACTCACGGGCTGCATCTCAGTGGCGAGCCACACGAAGCGGGCGTGCGGGTCGTGGCGGCGCACGCGCAGCAGCAGGCGCACGTACTCCGCTGCGCCCGCCACTCGCATCTCGCGCCCCTTGTCGCCCATGCGCACGTGCATGCTCACCAGCGCCCGTGGCACCCACGGCACCCGCACCCGCCACCACAGCTGCCGCTCCATGGGGCCTGGGAGAGGCCATTGGGGGAAGGGAGGAGAGAGAGGGCGGGACACGTGTGCACTAGTGCAGGGAGGCACGGTGTACTGCAAGCACAGTGGGCGCCCATGGTGGCACTCCATGGGATGAGGAAGGGTATGCCGACAGAGGCCATACGGGAGAGGAGACGTTGGAGGGAGAGAAAGGAAAGGGGGTTGGCACATGAGAGCAGTATGGGACGAGGCAGCAGTGAGCGGCAGCTCAGAGCATCCCCAGTCGCACCCTAGAAGTCCATGCGAGACAATGCGTGGGAGCTGTGGCAGTGCGTGGGGGCCATGGCTAACGGGACGAGGTGGCAGTGAGTGCAGCATCTCACCAGGTGGGATTTTCCACAGTGAGCTGCTGTCAGATGGACCAGCGGTCAGTGCAGCAGAGGCACGCAACCCAGTGTTTGGCATCTCCCCATCTCCTAAAGCCTGATCTTCCTCTGCTACAGTAGCGTCAGCCTGTGCCACAGCCACGTCTGCCTGAGCTAAACCCTGTGATAGTACCACGTCCGCCTGAGAGGCAGCGAGCTCAGCCTGGGCGACAGCAGCAGCGGCGAGGCGGCCATAGGACAGGTGGCGCTGGGCGTTGAGCAGACGGCAGAGGCGCGACGAGGGCGCTCTCAGGAAGAAGCGCGCCGCCTGGGCGCGCCACCAGCGGTGCGTGTTGCTGCGGAGGGGCCGCGGGTGGGGGAAGGGTGGACGGGGTGAGGGGAGAACAGTGCATGGTGCAGCGAGTGGGATGCTGGGGTGAGCCAGAGCAGGGACTAGTCTGAGGCGGCATTGATGGCAGGCAGTGGCATGCGCATGAACAGGTGTCCGCTGTGGAGACACAGCGAGAGAGGAGGAGGACGGTGCGAAGGAAAGGCTTGGAGAGAGGGAGGGAGGGAGGGAGGGAGGGGGGGAGGGAGGGGAGGGACTGAGGCAGCTGACTTCATGCGGTTGGTGACGATGAGGCGCCCCTCCGCCTCCACCACGCCCGGGATGGCCAGCCATGGCTGCCCCCACCGCGACGGCACCGCTGGGAAGAACAGCGGCCGCGTCCCCCTCTTGCGCCGCCGCTGCCTGCCGCCCGACTCCTCTTCCCCCCCATTCTCCCCCTCTGCCCCCTCTTCCTCTCCTCTGCCCTGCTCATCCCCCTGTCCCTCCCCTGAGCCTCCCGCCTGTTGAAAGGGCGTGGGGGCGGCGAGGGAGGGGTGCTTGGTGGTGGCGAGCAGCGGGTGGGCGCCTTGGAAGGACGCGGCGCGCCGGGCCAATGAGTGTGCGCGGCTGGCGGGAGGGCAGGGCGGGGATGGATGGGTTGTGAACCGCAGTGCAATGAGAGCGGGCGGGCTTGCACACTTTTGATATTTCTTAAAGGTGTGTTTGAATGCCATACATCTAGCACCCTTCCTGCCACCTGACATGCCTTCGTGCCTGCCCTGCCTCAACTCTTCACTTGCAACACGCCTCACCGCCTGCACTCGCCTCACCGCCTGCACTCGCCTCACCGCTGCACTCGCCTCACCGCCTGCACTCGTCGGACGTCTCTGCAAGGAAGTAGCAGCGCCACTCGCCGCGCATGCCCTCGCGCTCACACCCCTCGTGCTCCGCGCGCTCAAAGCCCCCCAGCAGCCCCACGCCCCCGCGCCCCCTGCCCCTCGCCCCCGCATGAGCAATGACCAGCACCCTCCCGCTGCGCACGGCCAGCGCCAGCGCGCCCGCCAGCAGCGTCATCTGCGTTCCCAGCCCATGCCGCGCGCTGCCCCCTACTGGCGCCAGCAGGAACCTGCGGAGGCGAGGGCGACGGGGACGGGCGGGGACAGGCGGGGAAGCTGAGGGCGGGTGGCATGGTGAGGGCGAGGAGGTGGGTGCTCAGCACGCAGCGGAGCGCCCCCGGGGGTGCGCCGGAGCCACTCGCCTTACAGCGGGGTGGGAGCAGTTGCGCGGGAACTGGTGGCGCCAGAGGTCGCGCTGCACAAGGCGGGTGAGTGGGTAGTTGTCCGCGTCTGCGCCCTCCACCCACGGCGGAAACGGCCCTTCCACCACCGCCACATCCCTGCGCGCCTCTCCTCTCCGCTCCGCCACATCCTCCTCTCTCCGCACTGCCCATGCGCTGCTCCCGCCTATCTCACTCTCCCTCTTGCCCCCTTCACCTTCTCCCCCTTTTTCCGCGTCCCCACTCCCCTCCCCCTCCCTCTCCCCGACCCCCTCCTCCGCCCCCTCCCCCTCGCCCGCGCCCGCATAGCGTCGGAGGGCGGCCCAGGGCGGGTCGGAGCCATCGGCGGGGCGGCTGGCCCAATGCTCCTCCGCGTGCACGCGCGCATTGGCCGTGCAGTCCGCCAAATGCGGCGCCGAAACCAGCGCTGCTGGCGATGCTGCAATTCCGGGCGGAGGTGACGCGACACGCTGTCTGGAGCCTTCTGTGTCGCTTGCGACTGGATCTGGGACGGTCGGCGACGACTTCGCGAGCTGAGCAGCCCATGAGGCCAGCAGTTCGTCAACTCGTCGCTGAAGCTGCTCGTGCGACGCTGGCGAATCTTGCGACGCTGGGGATCCCTTCTGCTCTCCCTGCGACTCCAATCGATATTGCTCCTCGACCGAGTGGATCGCGAGGTGCTCCACGGCGACGGGCTGTCGCACGAGAAGGAGGAGAAACGCGACGACGGGGAGGCACAGCAGCGCGGCGTGGAGCGGCGAGCGGAGGAACGAAACGAGGGGCTTGGGAGCGGCGAGAGACAGGAGGGATGCCGCGATGGTGGACGCCACGCGGTCACTGCTAGCTCCGTCCCTCTCGGCGGCTCCCTGACTCTGCGCTTCCGACGCCGGCATCGCACACACGTACTACCACAATGAAAGCATAATATGATCACTCGTTATGGAAGCACCAAGTCGCCGCTCGTCGACAGACGGTGAGGGCAAAGGTAAGACATGCATGTGGGTACTAGGGTGAGGTAAAAACCCGCACACATGACTGCTTTTCTGTTGGTTGACAGAAAATCCTTCCCCCAAGGACGAAGGGCGAAGTGTTGACCAAAATCCAGTTTCGAAAACTTTCATTAGAGTTTTGAGTGCTGTAGTGTTACGAGTGCAATTGAGCGAGCGAGTGAGAATTGCACTCTCACAAGCAAGAATACAATGAGCGAAGGCATGAGCGAAAAATATAGAAACTACCATGGTAACGGTAATGTGTGGAAAATGGGGTGCGCGACGGGCCTAGCGCCGAGGTTGGGAAATCTCGAGGCGGAGGTCCAGAGCGCGGGTTACTAACCGAACCGTGAGGTTGGGGCGCGTCGTGAACAGTGGCGGGAACAGTGTCGAGGCGAGTGTCGCAAGTGGTAACGGATTACTGTTGGGTGCTGTTGGCGGGAACAGTGGTGTACGCGCTGAGCAGGGACGCGAAGTAAGAAAAAGGGAATTTTCCTTACACTACCCTCCCCCTTAAGGAGGCCCTCCTTACGAAAGCTCATGTACATCTTGGAAAATTCGGCTGCGCAAGTACTCTGTGAGGACGGGGTGGTTCTCAATTTTGTCCAAGGGAACCCAGTTGTCCTCGGTGGGCGTTCGGTCTTTCCAGCGGATCAAAAATTCGATCCGACGAGCCCCCCGTGGGTCGCGCACTCGGTGGCTCAGAATCTTCTCGGGCGCAATGATTGGTTCTGTCGGTGGTCGTGTCATACTGGCTGGGCGATTGCGGGGCAGTTGGCTGGTCGATGGCACGTAAGGGCGAATCAGGCTGACGTGGAATGACGGGCTGACGTACCAGTCAGCAGGGAGGAGGAGGTGGGCGGTGACGGGTGTGATCATGTGGCTGATGCGAAATGGCCCGCAATATCGAGGCCGGAGTTTCGGGGTAATGGGCAGGCGGAAGTTCTGGGCTAGCTGGTAAAATCAGGCGGGCTGGTAAGTGACAGGTCGGAGGTGGCGGTCAGCGTTGCGTTTAGCGATTATGTTTGATATTTTTATTGCGTCTGCTGCGCGGGTTCGTGCTGCTTGCAAAATTTCGGCGAATTGTTGCGCGCGTGGCACCTGTCAGATTTATATGACATAGCTACTGTAGGCTATAGTGGGGTAGCACATATGGGGTACAGTTGTCTAGGGTTTGCTTCTTGTACCCAACTTTCACTTAGTCATTTCATTCCTCGTTTCTTCTCATGGTATCGAGCAGGTTCCCTAGTGGGAACGATTCCTAGGGCCCACCACCACGATTTTTTTTTTTTCCTGCCCGGAGCGCGTTTTGCGCCGGCCCGAGTCGCGCCGCCCTTTCGGCCCGTCGCGCCCGTTGCGCCCGTCGCGCCCGTCGCGCCCGTCGCGCCCGTCGCGCCCGTCGCGCCCATCGCCACCTACCTCCGCGGCCCCGCCACCTACCTTCGCGGCCCCGCCACCTCACTGTGCGGCCCCGCCACCTACCTCCGCGGCCCCGCCACCTACCTCCGCGGCCCCGCCACCTACCTGTGCGGCCCCGCCACCTACCTGTGTGGCCCCGCCACCTACCTTCGCGGCCCCGCCACCTCACTGTGCGGCCCCGCCACCTACCTCCGCGGCCCCGCCACCTACCTGTGCGGCCCCGCCACCTACCTTCGCGGCCCCGCCACCTCACTGTGCGGCCCCGCCACCTACCTCCGCGGCCCCGCCACCTACCTGTGCGGCCCCGCCACCTACCTTCGCGGCCCCGCCACCTCACTGTGCGGCCCCGCCACCTACCTCCGCGGCCCCGCCACCTACCTGTGCGGCCCCGCCACCTACCTTCGCGGCCCCGCCACCTCACTGTGCGGCCCCACCACCTACCTCCGCGGCCCCGCCACTTACATTTGCGGCCCCGCCGCCTCCTCCCAGCGGCCCCGGACGCCGCCCTCTCAGCGGCCCCGCCGAGCCGCCCAGCAGCCAAGCCGCCCAGCCGCCGAGCCGCCCAGCAGCCGAGCCGCCTAGCAGCCGAGCCGCCCAGCAGCCGAGCCGCCGAGCCGCCCAGCCGCCGAGCCGCCCTGTCCGCAGCCGAGCCGCCCAGCAGCCGAGCCGCCCCGCCGCCGAGCCGCCCAGCCGCCGAGCCGCCGAGCCGCCCTGCAGCCGAGCCGCCCGAACCGCCCTGTCCGGTAAGAGCAGCGCCTCTCTCACAGCACTGCCCTCGCCCTACTGTTTGCACTGCTAGTCTACTGCTGTCATGGCTACCCCTAGTGTCCTCGCTTTTGACGCTGAGGGTCGGGCCATTGACTTTGACGTCTGGATAGATGACCTGCAGCTTTTCTTACAGTGCGACAGAGCAGACGGCCTCTCCCTCTTTGACCTCACTTCTGGTGCCTCTCCTGCCCCCGCTGCTGATGCTGACGCCACCGTTCGCTCACAGTGGGCCACGCGCGATGCTGCTGCACGTCTTGCTGTGCGTCGCCACCTCCCTACCTCTGAGCGTGCGCACTTTAGCCAGTACAAGAGTGCTCAGACCTTGTACGACGCTGTAGTTGCACGCTACTCCTCCCCTGCCACTGCTGCACTGAGCCGCCTCATGCTACCGTACCTCTTCCCTGACCTTGCTGCCTTTCCCACAGTCGCTGACCTCATTACGCACCTCCGCTCTAGTGACACTCGCTACCGCGCTGCGCTTCCTGCTGAGTTCTGCGCCAAGAACCCCCCCCCCCATGTACATCACCCTCTACTACATAGTCACCCGTCTCCCTGACTCCCTTCGCGTAGTCAGGGACCACTTCCTCTCGGTTTGTCCCACCACTCTCACCGTTGACCTCCTCGAGAAGGCCCTCCTAGCAGCAGAAAAGAGCATAGTCGCTGTAGGAGCCTCTCGTGGTGACCCTCGCACCCCCATCTTTGAGGGGTGTTCCCCCTCCCCTCTTTTGCCCTCTGTTGCCTCTGCTGCTGCGGCCGACCTCGCTGGTTTGGAGTCGGTTGGGGCAGCGTCTACCCCTAGCGGGAGACGCCGCCCTGGCAGGGGCAAGGGGGGCAGGGGCGCTGGAGGAGCTAGCGGGGGCGGTGGAGGCGGCGGTGGAGGTGGTGGAGGAGGTGGGGGTGGCGGTGGGAGTGGTGGCGGGGGTGGAGGTGTAGGTGGCGGCAGTGGAGGCGCAGGAGGCAGCGGCGGTGGCGGAGGGAGCGGAGGTGGCGGCGGTGGAGGAGGAGGCGGCGGAGGAGGTGGAGCTGGTCGGGGTGGCGCTGCGCAGAGGGTCAGCTCCGGTGGTGGTCAGCGCCAGCAGCAGCAGCAGCAGCAGCAGCAGCAGCGCACTCGTGACGTCCCCTCCCCTCAGCAGCTCCGTGAGTGGTACACTGCACGCCAGAGGGGTGGGGGTGCTGGTCCGTGCACCTACGTCCTGCGCACCGGCGACCGCACGGGTGAGCACTGCGGGGGTGCGCACTCCACCCAGCGCTGCTTTGGCCGCCTCACGGACGCTTGGCGTCACCAGTTCCCTGAGGCCACTGAGATCCCCCGCTGGGGTGAGCTGTCTATGGCGGGTGTAGCTGTCTTTGACCTTGACTTTGATGCTATTCTTGCTGCCGTGTATACTGTGACTATTAGTGATGAGGGTGACTGTTACCGGTGTTTTCCGCCCGACCCGGGCATTGAGACTGCTGCTCTAGGTACTGGTGAGGCTGCTGCTCTAGGTGCTAGCGAGGCTGCTGCTCTAGGTGCGTCTGCTCCCTCAGGTGCTGGTGAGTCTGCTCTCTCAGGTTCTGCGTCGGCTTCGGCCTCCCACACCTTCACACTTGACTCGGGGGCTTCTCGCTCCTTCTTTCGAGACCGCACCACACTCACGCCGCTTGGCCGGCCAGTTGCGGTCTCCCTGGCAGACCCCTCTGGGGGTCCTGTCCTTGCTCACTTCTCCACTGTCCTCCCGTGTCCGGCGGCCCCCTCTGGCACCCTGTCTGGTCTCTACCTCCCCTCGTTCTCTACGAACTTGGTGAGTGGTGCTGACCTACAGGATGCGGGGGTTCACCAGTTCACTCCTGCGAGTTAGCGGGTGACCCACTGCACGTGTGCTCGGACGGGCCGTCACTTGGCCACGTTTACCCGTCGGCCGGGGTCGAGCCTGTACACACTGACTACTGAGTCTCCTCCGGTTGCTGAGTCTGGTCAGGTAGCTGCGTCGAGTCAGGTGTTTGCTGCAGCCTCCAGGTCTGGTCCTGAGTCTGCTCCCTGCTCGTGTCGTCTCCTGTCCCACCAGACTCTCCTTTGGCACCACCTCCTTGGCCACCCCTCCCTGCCTCGTCTCCGAGGCATGGCCTCCCGTGTCCTTGTCTCTGGTCTCCCCCGGTCCCTCCCTCCCCTCCCTCCGGGGCGTGCCCCTACCTGCGTTCCCTGCGTCGAGGGGCGGCAGCGCGCCGCCCCTCACTCCTCCGAGTTTCCTCCGACAGAGGCTCCGCTGCAGACTCTTCACATGGACGTGTGGGGCCCCGCCCGCGTCCGTGGCCAGGGTCACGAGCGTTACTTCCTGTTGGTGGTTGACGACTACTCGCGTTACACCAAGGTGTTCCCCTTGCGCAGCAAGGGTGACGTCACTGAGGTGTTGATCGACTGGATCCGCGCGGCTCGTCTCCAGCTCAGAGAGAGTTTCGGCTCGGACTTTCCTGTTCTGCGTCTGCACTCTGACAGAGGCGGGGAGTTTTCCTCTGCCCGTCTGGGAGCCTTCTGTCGTGCACAGGGCATCTGCCAGACCTTCACGCTTCCAGCCTCTCCACAGCAAAATGGGATTGCTGAGCGCCGCATTGGCATGGTCATGGACGTCGCTCGTACGTCCATGATCCATGCGGCTGCTCCCCATTTTCTGTGGCCGTTTGCGGTTCAGTACGCAGCGCATCAGCTCAACCTTCAGCCCCGGGTCTCCCTGCCAGAGACC